TAATAAATACTATGAAAATTCGAAACTATTATAGACGCATATGATTCTTTTAAAAATTAAACAATTCTACTGCCCTTACTGCAATAGAAAAATAAAGGGCAGTAGAAATTGTTTAATTTTTAAAAGAATCATATGAGTCTATAATAGTTTCGAATTTTCATAACAGATGGCGCGCTAATGCATCATAATAAATACTATGTTATCTTTAAAAATAAAAAAAGAAAAATTTAAACATCTCATTACATCTTTGGATGCCAGTATATTGGCGAAGATAGAGAGATGTTCTTCTCAAAAGTAAACTACAGCCAACTTACTTCAGTGTGAATGCTTCTTTTATACATAAAACGAACTTCTACTGTCCTTACTGCGATGAAAAAATATATTGGGAGGGCTTGGCTCATCAGTGGTGAACCCTCCCAGCGGTTTCGCCAATTTAATCCACCAGACCGCTTCTCAGAGCTCTAATACTGTATTGGATCATTCTGCTTTTATATGCTACACTGAAGGATGGAATCTTAGAAATGGTTTTCAAGTAAACTATGGACATAAGCTTATAGGACAGTAGAATTACATTCAAATATTTGCTTCGAGCAATGATCTTCAGCAAACTATAAAGACAAGGCCAGTTAGGAATAAATTAACACAAAGCAATAACGCACCATCTATACATATAAAATAAAAGGATTTAAATTTTTCATCGCAGTAAGGACAGTAGAAGTTCGTTTTATGTATAAAAGAAGCATTCGGGCTTTTAAATCCTTTTATTTTATATGTATAGATGGCGCGTTATTGCTTTGTGTTAATTTACTTCAGTGTAAAGTATTTTAACCAGCGTCATATCAAGTCGAATGGTTGCTCTGTCCATGTCCAACGTTTACAAAGCAGTAAGTAGGAAAAATAACTATGATTTCTTATTTTCTTCTCCACTGTATGATGGTGATTGATCATCGTGAGGATATCGTTGTAAGAAGGCAATGAGAGAAAAGAATCTGTATAAGACTGGTGTCTTAATAAAGGTTTTGTGTGTTTTGTATATGTATCTACAATGTTAGATTAACATATTTCCTAAAAATAAGAGACATTTCTGCCAGAAAACGACGTTTCGGCAAAATCTTTAGTCCTTTCCAAGAAAAAAAATTAAAGCATTTAGCAAGGCGTTATAAATGTATCATTCCTCCGAGCCTGAATGTAAAACCGCTGGTTAAAACTCCATATGGTAGACAGGAAACCTTTCCGGCCTCCGCTTTTCACAAGTGTAGACATGTGGTACACTTACAGTAAAAGCAGTCGCTTACCCACCATGATTACCATGGCCTCTACCACGTGTACTTAGGAATAAGAAAAAAAAAATTGTCCGGTCGAAGTGTCTCTCTTCTTCTTTCTTATCTCCACACTGGGTGAAGTAGAATGAGTCTGCCTTTGTCATCAAGACTGGGAGCACTACTCAGTGGCAGGCCTCCTTAGCTCCAAAATAAATGGCCACCTCTGACCGCCATGTGCAGCCGCTCCTAACATGGAGTACAAACGCTGCTCATCCTGTATCCCTGGATTAGGAGCCCTTACAGGGTACTATCAGCCGGGTCAGCTGAGCCCAGGTTTTTTAGCTGGCTTTTTACTGCTCCCCCTCCTCCTTTTTCATTCGGGCTTGGGACCGGCAAAGGCGGAGTTCGAAGTGTCGCTTATTTTTAAGAACTGTGAATCCCGGTGAGGCAACCGCTATCTTCAAGATCGATATATTTCTTCCTCTGCAGTGTGACGTTGAGTACAGGTCTGAGTGCTAGTGTGATGTGACATATACAAGGATCTTCAAACAACAAAACCTCGAGGTTACAAGAGCAGGTTGGCAAACTTGCTTAATTTCATAATCAATAGCCGCCTAAATGGACCATTGATTTTTAACATTCGCAGACTTTCTTACACCAAACTACCGAACACTTTTTTATGTTTGTTTTTTTGTGTTATTAAAATTTATTGATTTTTCTGTCAGGGATTTTTTGTGTGTATGTTTTTGGTTAATGTCACTCCCTCGAGTGCCAACTTTACTATAATGTTAGGAGAGAACAGACTACATATATATATAGATTAGGGCGCTTTGTTGTGAAGATAATTTCTTTAGGAAATTTATCATAACGATAGTGGGAGTTGAAAAACAAAAGTTTTAAATTTAGAAAGAAGGGTTTAAATATAACTTTTTATAACTTGTTGGCGAGTGCATTCTATTATATGCTCATATCTCAGCGGATAAACAGATCTTGGTACATTTCTTGATAAATATTTGTAAATATCTATTTTCCCAAACATATATACGAGTATATGCCTTTTTATTATCTAATGAATTAAGTATGGATTGCTCTATTTTCAAAACATATATCTATATTAATAAAATGCAAATTTCATAAGTGTTGTTCACTAAAAACTTTCGTTACAATGCATCAATTTCGACCAAATTTTCAACATTTATGTAAAACGAGATGGAGCAGGTTTTGCTTAACATCAAAATATTTTTCCCTAACATTAACATGCGTAACTTCGCTGTTATCGATTAAATACAAAAAAAAAAATCAACAGAGTTAATTTTATTTATATATAAATACAAAATTAAATTTCAACAGAGTTAATATTTTTACATACTAGCTAATAATCTCAATCTAAAAAATATTCAAAACAAGCAATTTTAAGATAACACCATATGTAAAACAGTCGGCCAAGAAAACAAATAACGTGTAATATATATATAATAAATATAATATATATAATATAACGGTATAATAACGGTATAAAGAAATAATGAGCCTATCGTTCAAATTTATAATTGTAACGAATAGTATTTTAATTAAAACATTTTAAAAACACACAGTTTGGAACGGGACGTTTCACAAGAGTGACATCCATGGCGCCTATTTATAATTGTAACGAACTCGGGTAAAACCCGGGCGTTGCCCGGGCCATTCGTATTATATAAATATATAATAAAAAATATAATGTAATGAATATTATTATCATTATTATCATAATAGTCTATGTTCCGGAAAATTATTTTCAATAATATTCGTTAGGCAAACTTTCACTCAGATAAAACCCGGGCGAAGCCGGGTACACATCCGCTAGTATATATATATATATATATATATATATATATATATATATATTTAATTAAAAAGGCATATATTGGATCAAAATATCATTTATTTTACCAATATTTCAGTTGGCTGAACGCCAACCTTTATCAAGGTGTTATAACATTTTAAATATATATCGATATATATATATATCGAAGAACTATTTTATTGTATATAAACGGCTCGGTATAATTGGTTTCTTTATTACCCAAAAGGTTATATACATAACCCTAGAACTTTGAAGCTGAGGTTTCTTCTTTTTTAAAACTCATTTTGAATGAGTGGAAGCAGTATTGCAAAGTTAAGGTAAATGATGGTCACATAGAGAGAAGTTAGAATGTATTGGATGTATTTTTGGAAGAAAAGGAAAATTCATGGTAATAAAATTTCAATCTTCTTAGTCCATTTAAAGGTATTCCAAAGAATTCTCTGTGGCGCTTTATTTACGCCTTTATCATACAGAGTAGATCTATTTCTTATAATGTTAAAACAAACTAATAAATTTCGCAAACATTACGTTTTTTTTTGTCAGAAGAATATTATTTGAGTGAAAAATTGTAAATTTATCATTATACAATGTGTTAATAAAAGGGACATGAATTAACGCTGATAATGATGATAACTTTGTCTTTCCCTCACGGAACAACGACAAGATCTGATCATAATTTGAAGTAACTGTTGGAGTCACCTGAAGAGTGATAGAAGGTCTCTGAAACGTCGGGAGTTAAACTATAGGTTGATGTGGTTGTGTTTTTCCTGAATCAACTTCCAACCAACAAATAATCTCGGTTGGATGAATGTCCTTCTTGAATAAACGAAGCCAACCATGATTGAATAATAGTCAACTTTTAGTTGACGTTCATATCGCCAGAGAGAAGACGATAGCTAAACATTTTTGCAATAATTAAATGCATTTTCCAGAGCTATCTTCGACATCATTCAAACACCTTTGTCTTCGCTCTCTCTTTGTACACTTATCGACAAAGGATCGCCGGTTTTCTGTTATTTTAAGGTGACAGAAGCAATTTTATTAACACTTGGTTATTTCGTGTGTCTTAAATAAAGATAATTGTGAATCCAGTATCTTTCAGAGTTATTATCTGAATCCCAATATACATGCTAAATAGTACAAATTCCTTAAGTTTTGTTCATGAATGTATTTCCACATTATAGATATCACCTTCTGGTGACAGATCCAATGCCAGTAGACATTTCGTATATGAGTTTTTCCACGTCGGTAGCTCAGTTATACGAAGTATCTATCGTCTTGGAAGATCGTTGAGACCCCGAGCGGCACAGTTGACGAAGGTCAGCGACGCTACAAGTTGATTTAGCAGGAGAATGGCGTATTTGGCCGCCTCTCTAAATAAAAAATAAACGCCCATTTGACTTTGGTCTTAGAGATGGCGTAGGAAAGTATAAATGTGAGACATGGTCACAAAGATCAATTTAAAATGGTTCAACTTGATACCTACCTTTACCGATACTGTACCATCTGACTATGGAAGTACAAAAACCCAGTTTGAGCCAGAAAAAATATACATTTTATTTATTAGCAAAAACTGATGACAACGTTTATAAACCATATAAAATAGAGAGGTAAAAAATATAATAGTTTCCACATGAAAAATGAAAAATATTATCAAGTAAATGATGATCAGTTTGGTAGAGATGGCTTCATAGATTACGTATAAGACAATAACGCGCCTGCTAAGAATTTTTTTCTTATATATATACTAGCCGAATGACCCGGGCAACGCCCGTGGTTTACCCGATTAAATGCTTTTATTAAAATACTATTCGTTACAATTATAAATTGGCGTCGTGGATGTCATTCTTGTATAATATATAAATGAGTTTTAAAAATTGTAAAAAAAAAAATGCATCGGCCGGGAATCGAACCCGGGGCGCCCGCCACTATAATATATAAATGAGTTTTAAAAATTGTAAAAAAAAATGCATCGGCCGGGAATCGAACATTCTACTACTGAACCAAACAGACAGAAGTGTCTCGCGCATTGGTGGCACCAAATGATGGAGGGGGGGGGGGGGGGGGGCGAAGGTGGCGTGATCGTAGCCGACCAATAGGAGGGCTCCAGCAAACCGTGACAGAGGCCATGACGCTCGTAACTGTATATAGAATGGCGCGGTATTGTCTTATAATTGGTGTCTTTATTTCGATAAAACTGGGCGAGATTTCAAGCCTAAAAAGTTCTTCTGTATAACCCTAGAACTTTGAAGCGGAGTTTTCTTCGTTTTTAATGCAAAATTTTAATATTAAATTGGGGTGGAAGGAGAATTGTCATATTCTTAACTTGGTCAAGTTCCCCTGGAGCATTATCTCAGCAATGGTATTGTAATGGTATATATTATGGTATGGTTCTGTGGAATAGTTCTTCAGTTGCTTCAACAACCCTTGTCTTTTAGCCTAGCCCCACTAATCAACCATCAATCTTGAAAGTGATTCGTTCCCATTAAAGTAATTGGTGTATTCTTAATTCAATAAAATAACCCATTATATCAATATTAAAGTAAATATCAGGCTTACAGAGAACATTTTCTTTTCTAAATCTTTAATCTCTATCTTTCAGGCACGAACGCCCTAATACAGTAGAAACACGGTACAATCCAACGTATTTTCTCCTGTAAAAGGGCGTTCATGCCCGAAAGCTGGTGATTAAAGATTTTGAGAAGAAAAATTTCCCTGGAATCCTGATATATTAACCTTAATATTGATATATTCTCTCTGTGTCAGCAAGATGATGGAATTATTTGAACAAATCTACGTGTTTTATATTTCTTTTAGTAGTGAGTCTGTTTTACCATCTTAGATCCTCCAAAATTGATTCATTTAATTAGGTAACAAACAATTTTATATTATTTTATATAAGAGAGTCTTGGGCCTTGTAAAATGTATCATTATCTTTTCTAGGCTCTCAGCCTGCATGTTGATATGACAAAAAAAAAGGTTCATTATTAATGAAGCTACTTTTTAAATAGTTTTTAAAATATCGGTAGTATTTCCTGAAGTGTGTTATTTCTCAGTGAAATAAAATGATTATGTTTTTACCTTTATATATATATATATAGAACAATTAGACAGCAATAGGACAAATGGCATTGAACAAGTGACTATGAGCGTTGCGAACATTTCTCGCTATGTTCGGTCACAAGCAATTTGTTCAAGAAATTGTTCTAAAGTTTCTGTGAACAATTTCCAGAGTTGCTCCCGAAAGAAAGTAGATCTAATAAAAATGGCCCACCGTGGGATGGACGCCTAACTTGGTTGGAAGAAGTTTGCCGTCTCTCCATAATCCAATTAGGCCCATTCCGAACAATTTTCACCTCGCTCAAATGGCCATCATATTAGAGCGCGATGTAAATTCGTTTTGTACCTTTATTGGATTAAAAAATAATTTTCTAACTTTTTATCTTCTGCACACAGATCCCCTCTACATACACCTCCTTCCTTGAAACCCTCTCTCTCTATATTTAGACTTCTCCCACACATATTGGCGATGAACTGGATACTTACATTTTTACATATGGTGATAAGAAGGTTAATAAAACTATATCAAAAAGCTGTCCACAGGGCGGGACCACTGTCTCCATTGCTATGGCTGATATTACTGAATGATTTATTAAACAAAATGCAGATACCCAATTCTGAAATATTGTATTATGCGGATGATGTAACAATAATAGTTTGGAATAAAGACAAGGATACTCTTATAAATTTGATGGAATTAATCTTGGCAGAAATCGATCAATGGTGTACTCAAAATAAACTGAAAATCAGTCTTGAGAAAACTAACATTTTCTGCATTTTCACAATAAAGACATGTCCGCAATAAAGTTTAAAACTAAATAATTATGCCAGTACAATAAATTAAAATATTAGGAGTCACTTTTACAAATCGTTTTATGAAGAGAAAAAACTTAATTTCAATCCTCACATAGATATTATACTGAATAAAACAAAAAGATTAAAACAATCTGCTGCTGTCAATTTGCGGAAAAGCTTGGGGTCTGAGTACCCAAAAGAGACTTACATTATACTAAACAATATTTAGGCCAATGCTTTTTTATGGGTCGGAAATATGGTATCAATTCGTAAATAAGAAAAATATAAATAAAAATCAATTTCACAACACCAAATGGTATTATGGTGCACGCAATCATATAAAACGACGAGTTCTAATTGTATACATAGCATAGCCAAGATGCCTTTGCTTAACGATTTCATTGAATTCAAAGAAATGAAATATGAATTAAAATCTTTCTATCAATATTTCAGATTTATCGCCTTCCGAAATAAATTGCATAGAAGATTCGCTATAAAACAAGGAAACTGACCTTAACGCCATGTGGACTATATTTTTCTGCGACTGACTCCACCGCCGTTTCAAAGTCAAGACTTCCATCCAAGAAAATGATTCCCTATAGACGACGACGACAAAGCCGCTCTTCCCGCCGCAAGAAAAAGAACTCAAAGCTACTGTGAACAAACTTTCAAGACTTGGAGGGAATCCTTGACAGAAATACGTCAGATCCAAGTCAGAAGCAATCGGAAAAGAGCTATGTGACAAAACATTTATTATTATATAAATTTGAATTAAATAAAATAAATTTCTATGAATTTCTGAGGTCTGACTTTCCTAGGTTTATACGTGATAATATGATATCTTTATGGATTCATGTTTTATTGAATTAAAACAATATTAAAAAACATAGAGTTTTAACAAAGATGCCATGTTCTAGCCCCATTCCCCTAAAAACATAATGCTTTGAATTATACATTTTTTTCTGAGATAAGAGACATTGGTTAGCTTTGCCTTAAATTATCGAGTTTCTATGGCTCTTCTTTTTCCATTAGGAAAACTCCATTTAAAACATTTAAATTGGTGTTAGAAAATATTAAAATTGAAAGAAAAAATATTTGAAACTTCACGTATTCTCTTGGAATATATTTAAAAAATAATTTTCCACCGAGTATAGAATGAGAAAAAAACAACAAACCACCACATAAATATTGCGGTGGTGGAGGAGGAGAACGTAGGTGAAAATGTTTTGAATTTCCATATGCAAATGACAAAAATGGAAAACGCGGTATTTGCATGAAATAATTAAACTGGAAGAGAGATTCGAATGGAGAGAAAATAGATAATGCTAATTTAACTCTAAACGAGGTTTAATCAAAGTTTGTAAATAAAATGGGAAGAGTAACTGGGGGTTTCAATTTAATGGCTTCTGTGACTTCCTCTATATTGAGTGCAAATTAATTGCAAAATGGATAGAAGTGAATAATTAAGTTCATTATTAAAGTGTACTTAGGGAGAACTCACCCAACTTATCTTCTCTTTGAGGAATTACAATGTTTTTACAGCGTTGCTATAATCGCCCTGTAGCTTTGAATCTCTCACGGCCTGTTAGAACCCAGTTTTTCTACCGGCATGGCTTAATCCGTGGATTAATTTTGTTAATCCGGAGATCAAATCACTGCGCTATTCAGAATATTGATGTCAAATATAAACTGTCACTTTATTCATTAATTGATTTGGAAATTACAGATAAAATGGCAAAGTATATTTGTAAAATCATCAAAAAAGAGAGAATTTTCTAGAATCAAACCTATGATCTTATATTTAATATAGAAAATGTCGGTGTTCAATGCAACTACTGAGCTACTAAACTCATCGCTGATTAATGTCGTGGTAGTGTAGAACAATCAACGAGCGAATAAAGTGGATACATTCAGACATTAAACAATATTGCGGATCTATATGTATTTTTAAATCCTATAAAGAATTGTCACAGATTTAACTATTTTTGTAAATATATTTATGATTATCTTTCTAACCTGGAAGGATCAGGTTCATAATATATCTTATTGTTTCTATTTTTTTGAAAATTTATTTTCTTGTATAATATGTTTATAACTGTTTCTGTTTAAAGATGTAAATCGACGCAATTATCCCTAGACGAGATATCGCGTTTTGTGTGTTGTAAAAAAATTAAATAGTTGGAATTAATTTAAAGAAATATTGGAAAATTATTTCAATATATCAATATATTTGAATATTTATCAATATAACTAGAAGTTTTGAATATTTTAGTTATCGGAATATATCTAAAAGTGTCCTTTAATGAGGTTTAGACAAAAGAATAATTGTCTTCATCAGGATACAGCCAAAACAAACATATGACAAGGCGTTTTACACTACAAATTTTACACTAAAGTTTTTTTTTTTTTGAAATTTCCGAACATGTGAGATTCCACAAACAGGACTCTCTCTAGACAGGACACTGTGGTATGAAGTTATATCAAACGGATTTTATTTTATGACAGGTTTTATACGTATCACTATACAGTAATTGCCATTAAAACATTGCATTTCATATTGTAGGCATATATATAAAGGTCACCTCGAATTCCAAATTTGAGGTAAAAAAAAATAGACGCCATCTATTGAACGTCTTCGCAAACGGGTCGGTGACAAAGCTAAAATACCAGCTTTGGGAAACGGAGAAGTTCCCACCTTTATTTTCATAGATCAATATCCTCCCGGCAAAATTTCCATATATATTTTGGCAATAGATTTGGTCTAGCCACTTTGCCAAGTAAATACGTCTTTGGCAGACTGTGGAGATTTCTTTTTTTTATTCCTTCTGGATCTCATGGGATAAAGTCCGCCCTGGACTGACAAAGCCATCAGCCTGAACTCATGGTCTCCAGGTGGACTCTTCTCAGTTTGCCAAAGTCGGTGTTGTGGCTTTATCACCGACTTGAGTCCGCTTGTTTGTAAATTCGATCAAAAGATGGTGTCTAGTTTTTGGCGTCTAATTTGACGGGAGAGAAGCGACCTTTAGTTTTATAGACCATTATCCCCACCCTTCAAAGTCTCCAATATATATCTCCTCGGCCTTTTTTGGATAAGATGTAAGTCGTTTTATTTTATATGTAAGTGTGTGTATATATTATGATGATAGAATATTAG